GCACATTATGTCCATTTCACCTTATGCCATATGTCCCATTCAGGGTCCAAAACTCCTCTGCAGTCCTTCCTGGGAATAGCTGAACAGCACACAGCTTACAATGGGGTAAGCACCACTGAATCAAATGATCCCACCTATAGCACATGCCACCTCCTTGAAGAGAATAACACTTTTATTTGTCCCTGAGAGCGACTGAAAAAATGCTTTTACTCTCTATTTTATTGAACATGTTAAATGTGCACACAATCCAATATAACCCTTGGATTCACACCTATGGACAGATTTCGAGTCTTGGATTAAGATAAAATCAATTTTTGACTGGAGCATAAAATCAACACTGTCACACAGACAACATTGCACCTTGCTATGAGGAGACAGTGCTATCTACTGTGCTTCCTAGTTTTTACTGTTGCGTTAATTGACATATCAGTGTCTCTCTTACGGTCATGTAGAGTAACGTGTCCCAGTGCGCCAGTCCACACAACCCCACGGCCATCACGGCTGAAGAATACTTCAATCCAGAGTTCAACCTCAACGGCCGAGACATTGGACGTCCCATCGAGCTCACCAGCAAAGTACAGAGGTATGACTGAGCTGCGACAACGTGACATGACCATGCAGGAGTGAACTCAACATTTGTCCTGTCTGCGTCATCTCCAGGTTCAAGGCAAATCTGTGGTTAAGTGAGACTCATCCTTTGTCGCTGGCCGAACAGGTGACGCCCATCATCGATCTCATGGCCATCTCCAACGCTCACTTTGCTAAGTTGCGCGACTTCATCACCTTACGCTTGCCTCCAGGTTTTCCAGTCAAAATAGGTGAGAGCAAAGTCCTGTTTGGGGGCTGATCATCACTTAACTCATTTGCGTTTCTGATTCAATTGCCTCTGCCCTTCAGAGATTCCACTGTTTCACGTGCTGAATGCCAGAGTGACCTTCAGTAACTTGTGCGGCTGTGACGAGCCAGTGAGCTCAGTGACGGTTCACAAACCAGAGAGCTCGGAAGAAACAGGTAACTATTAATTCACATTCCCAAAATTGGTCTGCATCACTCAACTGGGCAAGCCCATCATCATTTGCAGTTCAAGTCAACGGTAGTCAATCACTGTATATTGATGCATATTGTTTACAAACATAAAAAGGTCTATTCTGTTATTTCAAACTTGGGGTTCATAGAAGATGGAGTGAGTTAATAAAAGAATTACACATCTCATACATTTATAGTGTAAAATACCACCTAGTTATACAACTAGTGCATCGCGCTGCACACCAAGCGACAAAACCGTACGGCACTGGCCCAGTGTGCAGGGTTTAGCACCTGTTTTTTTTTCATGAGTGACCTACAGTTGGCAACTAGTTTTGCAGCCATTCAGAATTTGAATCACAGGTGAACGGAAATGCATGGTTTTAGATGTAACAAGGCTTTCCAAAATGTGATGTTCTATTCTATCACATGATCTTTCACAACAACAATTCTATTTCCAGGTACCAAGCGAGATCCAGTCAAGCCGTACTAATTTGGTATATATCGGAGGCCACCAAGCTTTTTGAAATTCAGAGCTACTTCTTTGGCACTGATGATTGTGAAGGGCTACCACTTTGCTCTATACCTCTGAAATTACAAATTTGCTCAAATTTCCGTTAATCGTGTTCTGTTATAATGATATTCATTTGTGTGAAAACACTGATCATGTTCATGATTTCTGACAATAAGTGAGAAACTCATACATATCACACATGCAATCTATTTATACACATATAAATTCAGCTTTTTTTCCTCCCGGTACCGATGAGTAAAAAAATAAATAATGTTAAAAAAAAATGTCATTCTTCACTTGAATGTGAACGCTTTACTCTGGGACTCTAGGACTCGGACAGTATGTGACATAAAAATCAATCACATATACTAGACTGTTCCAAAAAGATTCCAATTAGGCTGGGAAAAAGAACAATCACGCTTTTTGGTAAAATTTCACAAAAACTTAAAACATCAAAGAAATACACACATCACACTGTCGCTACAATAGCTTGGCAAGTGAAAAAGTTGCCTACAATTCAGTCAAAGTTAAAAGTGGCTGTTGATGACGTTTCAGGTGGTCAGACAGGAATTTTCCAAAATCAGCTTCTGTGGCATTGTTCAAAGTTTTATGTAGTTCAGTCGTGTGCCTGGTTGGCAAAATCACATATATTTACGAAACCCTGAGCCATAAAACGCGCATGGAGTAGTGATCTCCATTTCCATTTTGTTGTACACTGTCTCCTCAGGGCAGTCATCCGCTCCCTTCCACTGTGAGGTGGACCCTTCGGTGTTTGAGCCCCCAGCAGACTACACCACGCTTGGACCAGGGCGCAGTGAGCCAATGAGAGATGAAGATGACAACCTGCTGCAGTTTGCCATCCAGCAGAGCCTTTTGGACGCTGGCACAGAGAGTGACCAGGTTAAGACGCAACCTCAGTCACCGCTTCAACTAATCGGCACTTTCATTCTTACAATGCCATTCTTCTACAGTAAACTAAGAATTTTGAAAAATTGAAGACCATGAACAATCATTGTACCGCTCTGTAGTTGCAGAGGAATAGTTTGGTTTTGTTGTTTGTCCACTGCAAAGACTTTCAGTGGTTGGATCTAATTCGAGCATTGGGCTTGCAGCAGCAGTATTTCAGAATGATATCTTTTAACATAGCTTTAATGTGAGTGAAAAATTACTTGTTGACTTATTCAAGGGACTAGATCATGAGAAGGATGAAATCTTGGAGCCCTTCAAGTTTTTCTTCCACGATAAAGAAGACATGTTAAACTGAAAAAAAAAAACATAAAAGCTGATCACCTTAACAGCCTAGTTATGTCATGATCACTCGTACTTTTACATGAAATCCTGGTAAATTCTTGCGGTATCTGCTGACACGGTCATTGGCCAAAGCAATGAAGCATGTTGTTTGTCACAGATACATTCTTACTTTTTATCTTAATTTTTTTTAGGTGACCATCTGGGAGGCCCTGACCAACAGTCGTCCAGGACCTCAGTCGCCTCTCTATGAGGAAGATCCTCAGCTTGAGAGGTGAACTGACCTTTTTTTTTCCCAATTTTGTCAATGTGGAAGTCAGTTCTCTAAAAACATGATGGTCCCTGCCTAATTTGGTGAAAGAAAGGAATTAAGTAATGTAATTAAGCATCTGTGAATAGAACTCTGTCATTAGGGCTTCCTTTCAACCCACTCGGGAAGCAGCTACTACTCCCAATCATCCTGTACTGAGGCTTAGCAGTGATGTCTTTCTCTCTTTCCTCACTATTTGTGCCTCTTTTAAACAGGGCCATTCAGGAGTCTTTGTGCATCTCGTTGGCTAGCAGAGGAGGGGAAGTTGACGCACAGGACCCCAGCCGGCCCCCACCAGACTCCCCGTTGAACCCCACCACCAATTGTCCTCTCACTTACAACACAGCGACCGAGCCGCCGTTATCAGGACACTTTGGTGGGGCGAGCAGCTTTGATGAGCAGCTGCGCATGGCCATGGAGCTGTCATGCCGTGAGCAGGAGGAGATAGACAGGTGAGGTTGTCCTCTAGGAAGAGTTTATTAGCTTTTAGTTTTTATTTGCTTTTTAGACAGTTATCAGTACCTCCAATTTCATTAGTTTCCCTTTACCTACACAGTATACATAGTTACAGAGAACCCGTTGTTTTTCTGTGAAATTTTCAACTGAGTTTAGTTTGTTCCTTCACCACACTCGTAGCTCAAAACACTTGTATCTCATATAATCTTTTCCTCTTGAAATGAATAGCAATGCCAATCATCCGTTTCGCTAAAGACACCTAAATAACTTTTTAATTACGGTAACTCATTCAATTCCAGCCATTTTCACTGGAGCAACCCCCTCAATCCCAGCGTTTTACTGGATTTTGACTGATCTTGCAAGGCCCACAGAATATTTGGTTCTAATGCTATATAAACAAAGTAACAAAATAAAGTTTGGACCGTCTTCGTTCAGCAGAAAAAAGAATTTTGTTTCTATCTTTTTCCATTCTTCAGCAATCGGCATTACAAAATGGCTAAGTTTCATGAAAATGGCGATTCCTGGGCAAAAAACGGAGAAAAGGAGCTTTTTGTAAAAGCTTGCATTTCAAGCACGTGAGGCACCACTGCCACCTACTGGTCGCTTTTTTACATGATTTACAATGCAAACGGCTTATTCTCATTCACAGATTGCATCAGACCCTCCTCCTCTCTATGACGCAAAAAAAAGACTTAGACGTACAAGTACGTCCTTGGTAGGCGGGGCCTAATTTTAAAAAGATGTACAAGTACCTCTTGTGGAATGAAAGAGTTAAAAAAAACCCACACCTCTCTAATATTGTACTACAGTAATGGCATACAGTACTTAATAAAATGTAAAGAGGCAGTACATTTTTTTGCTTCAATTCAATGGGCATATTGTGCTGCACCTTCTGGTGTGCACATCTTGGCCAGCTAGGAGCTTTATAGAACAGATGTACATGGAGACAGTCACAGCTCCTCAGTAAACTGCGATAATAGTCTTACTTTGCATAGGATACAATATAAGGCTGTGAACCCTGCACACAACTGTGGTTTACGGTAATCTGGTTCTAGAACTGTGAACACCTAAGACTGCTGCCATCTAGACATCTTTGTAGATCGATATTGAGTTGACGTTTTATTGAATGTGATGATTTGCTAACATTTCACAGGAAGCGTAAAGAGGAAGAGGAGGAGCTCGAGAGGATCCTGCAGCTATCACTCACCGAGAAGTAATGTCACTTGAATGGACAAGCGGGTCTTCATTGGGGGACACAAACTCCTAATTTATTCTGTTTTTCTTTTTATTTTGGAACCCCCAGATGCTAAGTTATTAGAGACGTTTTATTTATTTCTTCATCTGATTAGCATCCCTAAAAAGTATGACAAAAAAGAATGAGTGACAAAATGTGCAAACTAGCACTCTGATTCACATGGCAATGAAGGAAGAGATGAAAGGGATTTTTTAAATTATATATTTTGCTGAGTCTTGGTGTCTTTAAAGAGTGATGGATGGTGTACATTCTTTAAACCTATAACATGATCCATGGTACCGACGAAGAGACACGTAATAAAACGTATACAAATATTAGAACATTTGAAACATTTGACTTGCTTGTATTTGTGTGAAAATTAAATAATGAAATAATTTTAAAAAAATGTTCATCATTGGAATCTTTTTTTTTTTTTTTTACTCCAGTTCTTATTAGATTTACCATTAGTAATGTAATCTGGCAAACACCCAATACTAATAAACTGTATGTAACTACAGTACTGTAATGTTAAAAGAGTCCACTTTATCTTATTTCATCTTAATGAAGTGACAAATTCTATAAAACTACTTTTGTTATTTTGGTAGTAAACTGTTGTATTTAAAAGTCCATAAACCAAAATGATCGAATATAGATGAATCATAGAAGACAATTTGGATTACATTGCAGTTACCTTCTGTAGTCCTCAAACAAATAGCTCCAGGCAAGACATTCTCAAGGAAAAGATATATTCTCTCAATTACAAAATAAATGAAAACAATATAAATGTCACACGGACGTACTTGGCATGTGAAATGATGCTGTGCCAGTGAGGGTTTTCTGATTGTAGTTCCTACGCAGTCATACAACTTTCCACAGTTCTTCATCCAGCTGAACTATTCGAAAGTATTTTAGACTGTCAGTTCATTTGAACACAAAACAGTTATGGTAATACTTGGGCACGTTTTTATTTGCACCTTTATTCAAGTTGTGATCATCAGGGCGCACATATTCTCCTTCCCCAGGCTTGGTCTGTGAACGCATCGCGGGTGCCACTTGTGCCTTGGGTACATTTTTCTGTGTTGAGCAAGGAGGTGTCACCTCTGTAAGTATGAGATGACATAATTAAGTATGACCCCTCACACTTACTGAAATGCTTTCACATTCGCAACAAAATTTATATTTTACTCATATTCGCCAGTGAAATGCTCTCATATACGTACGATTGAACAATTGGGTTGCGCATGCACGACTCAGAAAAAAGGTGGGGGGGTATCATTTTGCCAACATTAAACCAATACATGAAAAAAAAAATAAGTGAACATTGTTCATTCATAATTTGATGGTTGTATTTTGTCTGCAATGCATGAGTTACATTTGTCATTGTTATCCCAAAATGCCACGGGGTTGCGCATGTGGAAGTTAAAAGCCCCTGGCATTGTTGCATTTGGCATATAAGTACGTTTGAACGTATTTTCCAGTCTAAATAATTTTACTGCAAATCGACAGCTCCACACTTGCGTACTCATTTAATACGTATTTTCAAATATTATATGAGCACATTTCAGTCGTTGTTTTAGGCTGTCACTGAGCCCACGCTGTGCTCACCGATACGAGTGTCATAGATGTCACCCGGCATGTAAGGATGAAGGCTGTATTCTGTCTTCTCGAGAAAATATTCCAGTACCTCCCGCAGGGAGGAGACTGTCACCTGAAGTGAAACAGACTGTGTGAGTCAGACCAAAATCGTAATTAACCACGGTGTCCTCTACAATGTCAAAGCATATTTATTACAACATTATTGTGCTCTAATTATTTGTTACTGTGGTTGAAGTTTGTAGTGGTGCAGAATTGCACGGCATTCGCAGAGCTGTTTGTGATCTTTTTTGAGGGAAAAATGCGACACACTGCTGTCAGGTGATGCATCACTACTACTAGTGTAGTCACAAAAACAATTATAGTATGAAATTTTGTATTTGAATTTGATCATCTTTGAGTAAAGGCAAAATTTCTCATACAGCTCTTGGATGTAACTCTTGGGTTGTGCAAGTGTACCTAATAAAGTGCTCCCTCAGTATTTCTGTTTGCTAAATCCATTGAAGTGTGAGTTTACACCATTCAAGCTGTGGTTGAATTTGTCTTATTTATAATAAATTAGGGTAATAATGTGAAAACTCTAAGAACATACTGCTGTTTCCAATTGAATGATAAATCCTGACTTGGTGCAGATCAGCCTGTAGTTCTTCATGACAGGCCCCCTAAAACACACGTTATTATTACTGCAATGCCTATTCAAACTTGTTCACTAAAAAGATACATACATTAAAACTCATAAGATTAGTATTGTTTATATACAGCATATATTTTTTACTTGTTCCTGTCGAACATTGCCTGTTTTTTTTTTTTCAATCTGATAATTATTATGATACTCTTAGCATGTAGGATACTCTTAGAATACTCTTAGCAATTCTGGGTCTTGTATCTGACACTAAAGTACTTATTAATAAGACTCAGTCACCTACTTGGCTGTGACCTGTCTGAGAGTGAGGGCATAATTGTTGGCCATGGTGGATGGGCGGATGATGATGCCTCCATACTCCGGGTTCTGCCTCAACATCTGCTCAGCTTCCTGTCGAGTCACATTGAAGAAACACCTGAAAGATTCAGAGTCAAAATTTAATGGCCGGACAAAAATAAATAAATAAATAAATAAAAAGAAAGAAAGAACCAAATCGTAGTCACGGTAACATCTCTGGACTGCTGTGGTCAGACGTGTCCTTATGTGGAGGGACGAATGCAGGGGCTCCAAGAAGGTGGGCCGGTCGAGGAGGGAGGGGGGGTTTCTTTACTTGGGAACTTCTTATTTTCTCCTGAGCCAGAGCATCTTCAAGCAGCAACCTTTGGCCTGGCAGGAGCTGTATCTGACTGGGAATCTCTTTCTATGGGATGACATGGATTTACTTTACATCTAACGGTATAAACATGGATGATTGATGAATGAAAGGAAGGAAGGAAGGAAGGAAGGAAACTACTCCTACCCATCCTTCATTATGTTTGATCCAAAGTAAGTGCTTACATGCCTTACAAGATACTATTGTCTCATTGAAACCGAAACCGTGCACAAAATAAAACAAAAACTCAAAGCAAGTTTGTGTTTAAATGGGTTAGTTAATTGTTGACCAGATGTACAAATGGTCCTTGGTTTGGGTGCACTGTGTGTTCTTCCCTCGCATACTGGCAGTGATTATGTCAATCAAAAGGAACTCCAAAATCCCCATCCATCCAATCCTGCCATCCATCTGCTCATCCACGCCACTCCTGTTCCTCCAAGTGCCCATGACGTGATATTTTGAGCAATAGTTTTATGACTGCATCATATGCATTCTTAAAATACAATAGAGTCACCTGTTTTTGTTGTTGTTGTTTTTTTTTAACTTAGTGATTTTCAAAGATGATCAAATATTGGCATACATTGCATATGGCTTGCTGAGTTCTAAACAATTTTCCCGGTATTAGAGTGTCTAAAAGTGTTAGTTTACTCACTTTGACAATGGTCATGATGTAACTCCGCCACTCTTCTCCTGTATCAGGGTTTTCTATCTGTTCAGCCCGCAAAAAAATAAAGGAATAAATGAATGTGTGTGTCCCCCCGCCCCACCTCCACAAATAAATTGCAGTTATCGCATGATAGCCTTGTTTTTCAACTGCATAACACCTTCAAGTGGACCTCATCCGTGTGCATCATCAGGGTGAAGATCGTGGACATCTTCCTTTGATATGCAGATGCTAACTGCATGGACCTCAGCTGCAGCAGATTCAGCTTCTCTGTGTACTGACAGAGGGAGGACTTCATTAAAATCACTTCACTGAATCTACAAGTAGACATCATGTCAAAGTATTCATCCATCCATCCATTTTCTAAACTACAAATCTTTTTCAGGGTCATGGGTGAGCTGGAGGCTATCACAGCTGACTTTGAGCAGGAGGGGTACAAATCAGTAATCACTATAATGGGATTGCAAAAGTTGGCCTCACTGTATCCTGCTTTTCATCTTTGTACAAAAATAAGGTGTCTCCACGTAGCTCTGCGAAGTACTTCTTGAAATCCTGAAGATGATAGATGTCATTCGGTTAACTGAGCTTCACAGTGCATTCCTTTTCCCCAAGTCAGTTCTCATCATTTGCCCTTACCGTCTCGTAGGAGTGTTTCTTGAGCAGGTGCCCTGAGTAGTAGAGAGGCAGAGCTGTGATATGGGCCCGCCGCTTGTGGACCACTCTGGGGGGCACAGACATAATTCTGAATTCTAGGCCTTCTTGGAGCTTCTGCAATCCTGGTTTAATCCAAATTGACCTCAATTCACTTCGATGCAGTCCAGAAACTCCTCAGAGCATCCGCATAGCTGCTTCCCTGTGCTTTCCTTGTGGTGTTCCTGAAAATAGTGATGGATTCAAGCTTATTCACCCCCCTTTTCATTCGGTCATCATGTGGTCAGGTTGGTGAGAATGAGGAAGCTCTTGGGTGATTTATAAATAAGGAAGTAGTCAATATAATTTAACACCTCCCAAAAAAAAAAACCCTCTTACCTCATACACCACACTATCAGAATCCGTGTGAAGTCTTCAAATATAAGTCAGGTTAATTATTGAACAAGTGCTTGTTTTTCAATGCAGACATGTACTTGTGAGATTTCCCCCCAATACTTGTAAACGCATAAATATTAAAACACAAACCTGTGTCAACTGGATGATCAAATTTGGAATAATCAGGGGCGTACTCATACCTCAGGGAAACACAGGCAATTGCCTCAGACCCCAAGATCTCCATGGGCTCGCACTCCATCCATCCATCCATCCATTTTCTGATCCGCTTATCCTCCCAAGGGTTGTGGGGCGTGCTGGAGCCGATCCCAGCTGTCTTCGGGCAGGCAGTAACCCTGAACTGGTTGCCAGCCAATCGCAGTGTACACATTGACGAACAACCATGCGCTCACACTCACACATAGGCACAATTCAGAGTGTTCCATTAACCTGCCACACATGTTTTTGGAACGTGGGAATACCCCAAGAAAACCCACGCAGGCATGGGGTGAACATCCAAACTCCACTTAGGAAGGGCGTACACCTCTGCACTGTGAGGCCGACGTGCTAACCAGTCAACCACAGGGGCCGCACAGTACTGTATAATAAACACATCATTGGGTATAATAAACCCATATAAAATTAAACATGCCATTGGAAACAATGTTTCCTCCAAATCAGCGAAAATAGTGATATACTGCTTGTTGGGAATTTTATTAGAGAAAAAGCCTCCTAAATTGGTGCTTCAGTTTGGAATTGTAAGCAGATGATGGCTCTTAGGTGCCATTATAAAATGTATGTTACATTTTACTTGCTACTCGAAATGACAACACGAAACCCAAACGCGTTCGTATCATTTACTTGTACGGTTAGTACTGTAGTATTTCAGGTTTGAAGCTGTTGAATTATTAACGAACTGGGCGACTGCCTGCAAGAGTCTTGCTAGGCATTACTAATCGAAATCGCAAACAACATTGCGGTTGCAAACAATCATTGTATTATTTTGTCGCATTTATTTTATTTTCGTACGGACTTGAATGATCTTAATTCTACGTAGACACTGTATGTGGGGGATTTGCCCCCAAAACGAGGCAGGTAGGCGCTGTATAGTTTTTCTGTGATCTGTTGATAGTGACTGGACATAGTATGAACTTCCCATTGATTGATCTCCACTACACTCCCTGCTGACCGAAGAAAACATTTGATATCGAACGCAAGAAGGGGATTTAATTGACGCGAAAAAAAACCGGTAATATTTTCAACATATGGTATCCGGGGAAGACGCCGCACGCCCGTGAAACACCGTTTGCCGGTCTTACGTCGCCATAACACGACGTTTTGTCCCCGCTAAACGTCGCCACGGTTTGACTTGTTTTTCCTGCCGGAGCAAGCTTCCTGTTAGCTTGTGCTAACTCCGACATTATGCCAATGAACGTTCTATTATAGCCTGCCATCGCCGCGGGTGGAACTGTACCACTTGCGGGTATGTTTCTTAGTTTGTGTAATTTAAAATCGAAAAGTTAACGCGGCAATAGTGTCACAGTCCGTACTCGTTGGTTCTCTTGTTTGTCGATAACGCCCGGTAGCTTAGCCATGTTGCTGCTGTGAGGGCTTTAACTCGTCCAGTAAATCTTGCTGGTACATGCACGAACAATTTAGCTTGTATCGAACATAAGTCAATTCGTATTAAACCGAATGTTTGTGTGAAAATTTCAGTGGCCATAGTCGACTTCAGTGCTCACACTGTGAAGAAAAAAAGACTAGTGTCAACCTCTTTTTGTTTGGTCTTTTTTGGGGGGGGTGGGGGGATTATCACTTTTTGGTTGTAAAAGTGTCAACTGTCTTGTCAAAAGCACACATTTCAAATGCATTAGATAGCACTATCGGATTAAGAACGTCTTCCGAGCTAACTCGCTTAAAGCGAGACTGGGAAGCTGTCCGACGAAGGAGGTTCCTCTCTTTTGAGTCTCGAGCCGACTTTTCCACCACCACCACCGCCGCTCTCCGCGTCCGCCGC